TACGGATAAGGGTTTAGGGTTTAGGGTTTAGGGTTTTGGATTTAGGGTTTAGGGTTTAGGGTTTGGGGTTTAGGGTTTAGGGTACTCAGCCCGGTTCCTACGGCCTTAAAACCTTACCAGCCCTCTTCCGACATGCTGGATCTTAAAGCGGGGATGGTTTCGGGTTTCAGGGTTTACTTGGGACTCGATGTACCTGCAGCTTAGCAGTATCTACCCCTTAATCAGTAGGTAGAACCCATAAAACTGTAGGTAAAGAGACTGCCAGGTGAGGTCTAGGGTGCAGGGCGTAGTTCTCCAACTCTACACCCGAAAGCCTACGCCTAAGCCCCACGTCAACAAAACAATCAGTGGACTACACCCCAAACACCCGGGTTGTGGTGGAGGAACCTAAGCTACCATGATAAGGAAACTTGAGAAAACGTTGTCATTTATCATACGTCCAAGCTAACGGCAACAGAGGCAGACGGCAAACACGGAAACACATCTCATGGGCATGACAAAGACCCAGGCACCAGGGTGAGGGACACATGCTTCAAAGTCCCAAAACCTCCCAAACCTCGATCCCGAAGCCCCAAAGACACTCAAATCTTAAACCTCAAAAGCCCTTCACCCTAAACCCTAAACCCTAAACCAGCTTGCAAGGACCAAGCTCTACATCGACCTCCACCAAAGAGACTCCGAATCGGCGGTCTTTGCTTCACTACTTAAGACCTGGCTTGGGGTTTAGGGTTTAGGGTTTAGGGTTTAGGGTGTCGGGTTTAGGGTTTAGGGTTTAGGGTTTAGGGTTTAGGGTTTAGGGTTTAGGGTTTAGGGTCTAGGGTTTAGGGTTTAGGGTTTAGGGTTTAGGGTCTGGGGTCTAGGGTTTTAGGGTTTTAGGGTTTTAGGGTTTTAGGGTTTTAGGGTTTTAGGGTTTTAGGGTTTTAGGGTTTTAGGGTTTTAGGGTTTTAGGGTTTTAGGGTTTAGGGAAGCCCTAAACGGTAAGCCCTAAACACCAAACCGGGAATCAGAAGGCAAAGTGGGTTGGGTTCAAGGCTTCCGGCTTCTTAGTAGGGGGTGAGGGATTTGGGTACCTGAGATCCCCCTTAAAGAGAGGAATGTATATATACATATATATGTATATACACATGTATATATATATATGTACATACTAGCCTTTAAGGGTAGGGTACCTAACTCCCTCACTCCCTAGTAAGACTCGGAAAGTTTAGGAAGTCCCGAAAGCCACAGAAGGAAAGCCAAGAGCCGCACCGCATCAAGCAAGAGCCGTTGCGGAGCTGCACGGCCATACCTAGAGCTTAGGGTTTAGGGTTTAGGGTTTAGGGTCTACCTGTTAATCCTGGCGGACAGAAATTTCTGTCCTTATGGTTTTTTCTGGTTTTTTGCGTGCAAAAGCGAGGTGTTGGTGTTCTATTGGGATCGGGGAATACGATCAAAGCAGCTGGATTTTCGGCGTTCAGGGGAACCTTCCCGAGGCCCTGTGCAGAGTCTTGTGCACCAAAGAATAGGTGACCTGAGCAGAACACAAAAAAAGCGTACTCTGAACCCAACGTTTTTCCAACATAATGTTGGGTTTTGTTGGTTTTTTTTTTTTTTTTTTTTGGGGGGGGGGGGCCCAAAAAAACGTAAACCGTACCGAATCCGTACTTTGTTGGAAAAATGTTGGGAAAATGTTGGGAAAAAAGCGTACCCAAAACCCAAGGCAAACCCAACAAGAGGACACTTTTTCTGAAAAGGCCACTTTTTCTTCAGAATTGTGTGGGTGTCTGGTTTCCACCAGCAAATAGGTTTCTGACCATCATTAAAGCGGACGGATTTTTTGCGCGGCTGGATTTTTCCGGCCTCTTCAATAGGACAGTTTTTTATGGAACGGGGGATTGACAGGTAGGGTTTAGGGTTTAGGGTTTAGGGTTTAAGGGTTTAAGGGTTTAAGGGTTTAGGGTTTAGGGTTCAGGGTGCCCACTGGGTGCGGAGGTTGGGTTCTTAGGGTTCTTAGGGTTCTTGGCGTTCTTAGGGTTCTTAGGGTTTAGGGTTTAGGGTTTAGGCTTGAGTGTAAAGGTTTTAGG